CATGACCTATTCTTCAGAACCAAATCAAGTGCCACTTCTTCCAAGCACGCTGCCCTGACTGCGTGAGGTTTTATTTTCTTCTCTCAATTGCTGTATCAAGCACACAATTTAGGACGTCATTTTGCATCTTCTTTGTTTCCCCAATATGTTCGTTCATTCAACAACAACAACAACAAAATTTCTTTGCGAGCCAAAAATTCCGTTGAAAGTTTGGATCCTAGTCTAGAGGCTGAGGGTACAGCTGGGAACAAGATGCAGGAGTCTCTTGTGAGGCCTACATTTGGAGGAAGGGAACAGAAGAGGCAATATATAAATAAACAAAATATCAGCTCTCCAGCAAAGAGAGTTTCAAACAGAGAGAAAACAACAAGGGTCAGTTCAGCATGTTCAGGGAACTGAAAGAAGGATGGTGGGGCTGGGGTCTGGGGGTGGCGGCAGGGAAACAGCAGGAGACATAAGTGACTTCTTGGATGCTATCAACAAAATTTTATATTATGTCCCCGATATGGCTTGGGCTCATGCTAAGCACAGTGGCAACATCTCAGTCCTACCAAACCATTTATAGATGTAAATTAAGGCTGGACCACAGAGCTACATCAAGAGAAGAGAATGCAATTATCTAGCTAATTGAGGATGAAGACAAAACTAATCTAAACAATTGGACCCAAAAGGATTGTATTAACTCCCTGGGTACACTGACAAAAGAGGATAAATATTAAACTCCTCCTCTTCAGACTATTGTTATATAAATAGCAGAAGAACCATTACAGAAACATTCTGACAATAAACTGCCACGGAGTTATGATCAGACAGTTGTCAGTTACAAATCTCTGATAGAAAAACTACAACTAAAAAATTCAGTCAGCTATCATGAGCAGAATACTTCTGAAATAAGTCCTCTGCAGCAAAGAATTTCTACAGCCTTAGCCTGTGCTGACACAGGCTATTGTAGATATTTGGAACCATCCGAACATTTAAGGGATTTTCTAGTTTACCTGAAAAGAGATTGCCTGGCTTACATTACAGACTTGCTCACCCATCTATATGTATAAGTGTATAAAAGGGAATGGCTGACCTGTTCAGATCATTAGCTCAACTGCAGGGCTGCTCATTTCTCTGCCTAGTTAAAGACCATGTCCAAGGAAAAACAAGGGGACAGAGAATCTGCTGAGAGAGAGGTGGGGCTGGAGAGCATAGAGAAACAGATCAAGAGCTTCCTGCCTTATAGAAAATGCAACACTTTTAAAATGGATTATTTAATCCAGATGTTTCTCTATAGTTTAGGGGATAGACTCTATGCAGGACAAATATAGTAAATCTTCACTGAATAGAAAAGAGAAGAAGTCCTCCTAATACAGTTCTAGGTTGGGGAAATCAAATTCCTACGTTGAGAGAGTGACCTTACTAAAACATGAAAATGGAGAGAGCTCTTGTGCAAATGAAATTGTTCTCAAGACCCCATCTGGACTGACAGCTCAACTCCTCCCCGAAGCCTCCTGTGATTAAACTATATTATTCAACATCTGGGCACTTGGACGTTCCACGTGTATTCTATCATACTTTGCTTTGCTACTGTTCTCCAACGGTTAATCTTCCTACCTAGACAATCAGCTTCTCAAGAGCATGAAAGTTTGATTTCGTTCAACCACCCACTGCTGGATGCCCAAGCCTTGCCTTACAAGTTCCTAGTAAAGTGCAGTCCTCTGCGTGGAGAGGTGGACTGGGTGTAAGCTTACAGTTAGAAATCTTTAGGAGAAATCTAACTTGTAATTATCTAGAGCCTGAGTGATCTAGAGGCTGATTTCTATGGCTCTTTGATCATTTTACTGCACATCAGTTTTTCCACCTCTTGGACATACAGAATCAAATTTACTCAAGCACACTACTAAATATCAGTTTGTCATATTAACCAATTTCTCTAGACAAAAGCCAAGAAAGGCAGTTGTTCAGATAGCTCAGGGAGAGGGCAAACAATTACCTCGTTTTACCTGCATTACTTACAGAGTAAAACAGGGCTTATAATGGAGATTTCAGGTTTAAGGGTATTATTATAATGTGCTAATGCACCCTTTGGAAGTAGATTTGCCATGTTCTTGTAGAAAAATGATCGGGGAAAGCCATTTCACCTTCGACATGGTAATATTCCACTACTCTATAATAATTACAGTTTATACAGTGTTTTTACTCTGTAACTCAGAAATGTGAAATGAAATGCCCATAGCAATGCAACCAGCATAGAGCTGAAGTCAAGCTTGAGCCTCACCCTCCAGGGTCCAAGTTCAGCACCCTTCCCACCTTCTCTCTGTACTTTGTTATTTATGTGTCTATGGCTGGCTGGATGGGTGGACTGATTGACTGCTGAAAAGCTTAAGTATAACTACTGAATTGTATGATCCTGGGACATGTCAGGAGTTGGGCATTGTAAAGTACCTCGAGGACAGAAACAACATCTATTTTTTTTTAAGATTTTGTATTTATTTATGGTGGGGGGGGAGTAAGGGGAGGAGCAGAGGGAGAGGAACAAGCAGACCCCACACTGAGCATGGAGCCCAATGCGGGGCTCAATCCCAGGACCCTGAGATCATGACCTGAGCCGAAACCAAAAGTCACTCAGTGACGAACTGAGTCATCCAGGGGGGCCCCCCCGGGACATCTATTTAATGCATTTATTTCATGCCACTTGGGTTCGGGACCACAAGTTCGCAACTTGGTCAATAGCGTATTTGATGCTGATGTCAAAGTTCACAACCAAAAAATATTCAAATACCTTTGCCCTGTGGTTTATTTTTCTTCATCTAACATATTTCCTTTCTGAAACTAAAGTCCTACCACCAGCTGACAGAAAAATTTCAAAACAACAATGACCAAATCCCAAAGCTAGCCAGCTGGACTCTAGCAAGGACATGTTTGGGGAATGACTTCGCAAAGACCAGGGCAGATCCATCAAAGAGGTGATTCGATAAGTCCCTACTCATCATGTTCCCTCCTTAATGTTTTACAGTCTGCACTCTATCTGGTGCTTCCCTGAACAAAAAGCAATTTTTAGCAAAGTGCAAGCTAGAGTAGACAACAACATGCTCTTCCGTGAACTGTCCTTCATAAACAAAACAGGCTGCTCAACAAGCAGGCATGCACTTGGAGTGGTTTTTTCAATGTAACTATACCTCCTTTTACGTAACAAGGGATGTGCACCTCGGCGGGGGGGGGAAGAAAAGGTCAACCAAATATCTGTAAGGAGAATCAGATTTTCCCATTTTCTGACATTACCATTTCCAAATTACCTTATCATCACTCTGTTTTAGCAACGGTGCCCCTCCCTCCTATTCCTAAATCTGACAGGCACTTCATTAATAAATAAAAATGTTAATGAACTAACCTAGCTCCACTTGAAAGGAAATGTTACAAATCCTTCCTATGATTTTTTTTTTGAATGTGCATAACTGTTCTTAGCCTTTTTAAAGAGAGGGTGCCCATGCAGTGGATTGCATAGGACCCCAGTGCCTGTTAGATTGAGACACAGCGCCTGGTGCAGGATGTGGCCTGGATACTGTTCCAGGTTTCCATGCAGAGCTTTCTGGCCATTCTCAGAATCTCATTTGCCCTTGTTGGCATAAGATGCCAACTCGGATAACTAACCTGTCTCACGGTTATATGAACAGGAAAGATTTGTTCTCTGGTGGCTCCCTGCATATCCCAAGGAGGGGAATTTCATTTAAGATGGTAAAGATTATCTCTCAGAGATCAACTTTACAGTGAATCATTACCTGGGTTCATTCACAGCTCTAGGACTAGAATACCACATATTTTAGTGTCTTCTCAGGGAAAATAGAATATTCCATGTGTGGTTACAGACAAAGAGGAAACACAAACTTGGCCAATTCAGAGCAGATTTCTACATCTGATCCCACGAAGTAAACGTCAAAATAAACTTTAAAATAAATAAACGAAAAAGGCTTGCATCTTAAGCTCCATCTTCCACAGATGTCTTGGTTAAGAGAAGTGACAGGCCCAAGGTCACGAAGTTATTGAGAGGGCATGCACCCCAGTCTGCTAGGAAATACTGCAGCATCAGACAGCTGTTTCCATTTGCAGGTGGGGATGGGAGTTCTTTATCCAAAAGGATCCTAAAAGAGGCCAGCAGATATTACTCAAAACAGATCCAGATTCTTAAATCGGGAGACACGAGCTGGTTTAAAAGGGAAGATTGAGTTTTGTAATAAGTCATTTGACACAAAGCCTGGCTGACTGGGGGAATCTAGGAGATCTCGCCTGCCAATCAACAAAATGAAGTGATATAAAGTAAGTTTTAATATATTTTTCTAATGAAAAATATATGAACAGATCACTGCTAATATTAAAGCTCTGTCACACTTAATCTAAAGCATCCTTAATACTGCAGCTTCTCAGAGAAATCCTACGAGCAACCCACCCGCTCTCAGGCATCAGGACAGACTCAGATGAATTTTCAGAGCCCGGCTCGCAGTTCTTCCCAACCCCACTCGCCCCACCACCACCACCACCACCACCACCAAAAAAGTCCTCAATTGCTCTGCCGCACTTTCCCGTTGCAGCGTCAGGGTTCCGAGGGGCTAGCGGCGAGGTCTGCGGGGCGAGCGTGGGAGGGGAGGGAGCGGATGCGGGCCACCGCCAGGAATCCTCAGCCCCCGGAGGGCACCGGGCTACCCGCTGCAGGGGAGCCCCGCCGCGTGTCCTCCGCGCGCACCCTCCGCAGGATCGCCCTGCAGGCTCCCCTCGTCCAGGCGTGACCGCCCCCGCTCGGGGGAAATGCCCCGCTTCGGGTCTCTCCAAAAAGTGGGCGGTCTGGCCCACCCGCCCCCGCCCCGTCCCGAAAACGGGGACGAGGAGAGGGGGTTGCGCCCCCTCCCTCCCCCGGGTCCCAGCCGCGCTCCGCCGCCTCTCCCCTGGCCTCTCCCGCAGCGGCCGCCCGCCCAGCAGACCTCCCCGCCGCCCCCGAGTCCCCGGCCCGCGCCCCTGCTCACCTCGGCCGGCGCCCGCGCTGGTGGCGGTGGAGTTCCCGCAGCCCATCGCGCCGCTGGCCGGGGAAGCAGCGCTCGGGAAGCTGGCGGCCGCCGGTCCTGGGGGCGGAGACGGAGGCGGAGGGCGGTGCGCCCCGAACCGGAGGCCGGCGGGGGGCGCGCGGGGCCGGGGGACACGCGGGGCCTCCCCCTCCCGCCGCCGAGGGGTGCGGGCCAGGGCGCGGCGGGCGGGCGCGGGCGGGGCGGGAAGCCGCCCGGCACCCCTTGCCCTAGCCGCGGTCGGGGTCCCCGCCGGACCCACCCGTCACCTTGGCAACCACGGCGACGCCCAATCCCCGGCCTCCTTCGGGCTCTCCGGCCGGGCATTGGTCGTCATGAAGAGGGGGCGGGAGTTTAAAGTGGGTTTGGGAGCGAGGGCGAGGCTGGGGGCGTGGCCGGCGCGGGCAGCCGGGCGAGGCGGCAGGGCCGAGGATGCTCACCTACCCACTTCCACGCCGTATTTGCCTTTTCTTCCCCACTTCCCTTCCCTGCCTCAGGATGTGGGCAGCAGGGGAAGCGGCAGAAACACCTATTTTGCATACAGTGGGCGCCCAATAAATGTTATTGAATGATGATATTCAGGTCTGAAGTCAACACTGAAATCCCATTTCTTCTTTAACAGAAAGCTAATGGAGCTCTGTTCCCCAATACACTTGGACTAGGAAAGAGCATGAAGTCTTCCCTAGGCCGGTCATATCAGCCTACTTCACTTTAATTGCATTTGCTGCAATTTTGATAGCCTGCAGGACCTTCACTCACTTAATGACAGAATTGTGAATGCACTTGGCACCTTTCAACCTAACATTTGGGCAAGTGTTACTGGAGTCAGAATGAGTCACAATCCCTGCTCTGCTCCTTAATAATTGTGTGACCTCAGCAAAGTTACTTAACCCGTTAGTGTATCAGTTGTTTTACCTGTGAGATGGCAGGAATAACTGAGGCACATGTAAACACCTAACACAGTGCCTGATCCCAAATAAATGCCAGCTATTCTTGTTCTTAAGTCCTATTAGAATTGAATAATAATTCCCTGAAGGTAAGGACTGATCTACCATAGCATCCTCCTGGCTCATAGTACAGACTCAATAAGTGTTTTGTGAGATGAATTCAAGCCAGGAATTAAATCTCCATTTTAAATCCATTTAATATTTATAGAGAGCCTAGCCTGTGCCAAGTCCTTTGTTAAAATTAAGTTCCAGTGATACAAACATGTAAGGAGCCAGTCTAACCAGGCAGACAGCTTATAAACAAATTAATTACAATATAGCAGGGATGTTAACAAAGGAATACAGGGTGCCACAGGAGCCCAGAGGATGCTGGGATCCTGGTTAAAAGACTTTAGTAAAACAAAACAATCGTATTTAGAGAAAACCTTGAGCTAGAACCGAGGCCCTGGTGGAATGTTGAACATGACCTTTGAGGCGATGGAGAGCATAGGGTAATCTTCTCGTTCAGGATACGCCATCTCTCCTTCGAAACTTAGATATACCTGGGTGTGTTGTGAGATGGGAATTAATTCTTGGGGAAATAAGGGTGTTTCTGAGTTGTCTGACTTCTAGAAGCCCTGCTTCTCTACCTTGGCCTCCACCATCTTGGTTCAGTGGCTCCCTCCTTACAAATCCAGAATTAGGCAGGGGAGAGTAAAAGGGGAGGACTATCAAGTAACCAAAGGAAATACTCTTGCTTACTTCTGTGCTGACGCTGGACTCCAGTCCTAGGACACTTGGACGAAAGAGAAAAACAAAGCCTGACATCCAGTCAGTGGCCTGACACGGCGAGGCCTTTGGGTTCTTCTGTTAAACACAGTTACACAGAACACCAATCTCAGGGCCACTCTCTAACTCTGAGGAAGTGAGATCAAAAATAAAACCACCCAGTAATCTTGTCTGAGTATGACAAAAACAGGGTCATTGGCAAACCACAAACACAGCATCACTCAATCCTGGCTAACGTGAATAATCTGCTACTTTTTTACCAGTTACAGTTTTGGCCCCATCCCAGACTTCCTGCCTCATAGATGAAATTTATTAAGAATATCCCACCATAGAACTGTCCCTCCTTCCTGACAATACCCAATCCAGAAAAAAAGAAGTCCTGCTTTCTTAAACCCCAACCATAACCACCTAACTTGAACCCAAATCCTATAGAATCTTTTCTAACACCCCATTACTGAGATACCTCATGGTTCCTTGTGGTGTGCATTCTCTTTCATTGCAAAAGCAATAAGCCCAACTTGCCCAGCTACCAGCACGTTCCTGGTGGTCTTTGGTGGGAGGACACTGACCCTTGTAAATGATATGTACTCTGCCTTATAAGGTTATAGAGTGTGTTATCTATTCATTCTTTCAACAAACACCATTGAGTGTTTGCTTTGTGCTAACCACTTTTCTAAATGCTTGAGATGGGGCAGTGAGCAAGGCACAGAGGAAAAATCTAGTGAGAAGACAGATCAAAATCAAACAAAAGATCATTTTAGATACTATAAGTGTGATGGGAACAAAATAAAGCGGGGCACTGAAATAGGGGTAGAGGGAGAGGTGCTGTTCTAGGTAGGATCATCAAGGAAGACCTCTCTAAAGAATGGATATTTTAGCCGAGGTGTGATTGATGAGAAGAAATCAAACATGTGAAGGTCAAGCAAAGAGCATCCCAGGCAGAGGAAATGGCAAGTGCAAGAGCCCTGAGGCAGGAACATCCTGAGCATGTGTCATAAACAGAAAAAAAGGTCAGGATGGCAGGACTAGAGCAAAGATGGAGGAGGGTAGTTGGGGAGATAAGCCAGATCACACTGGGTACGATGGGCTTTGTGAGAAGTTAAAATTTCATTCAAAGGGCAATGCAAAGTCATTTGATGAGACAATGTATGCAAAGTTCCTAATAAACTTCCTAGTAAGTGCCCTATAAATATCAGTCCTCTCCCTGATGCGAAGTGAATGAAGAAGCCTAGCATCTCCTTTTTCCTTTTTAGGAATTTATTTTATTTTTATAAACAACAGTTAATTGCATTTGGGTGTTTTCAAAAACAATGAGTCAAAAGAAAATCATTAATGTATGTTTCATTTCCTGACTGGTCAGTTTTGGCTTCTTTCTCTGTGCTAGTTAAATCACACCACTGAGCTGTTGTTTTCATTCTTCAAACAAGAACTGATGTGGTGGTGTGAAGGAGAGAGAAGATATGCGCGACTGAAATTGATCTGGCAAGGAAAAGAAAGCAAGACACAGGAGAACATGGAGCTAAATAAGTCTCAGCTTTCATGGTTTTTCTTCCATAAAGGGTTCCCCACAAAAGGTTCGGCAGCCCGAGTTTTATTTTTGTTTTTCTCCTTTTCCCTGTTGACATGCTGCAAGATGGCTGCCTCAGTTCTGGGTAGCTCATCCACACACAACAGAACTCAGCAACAAAAGGGGGATTTTTTTTCCCCCACTTCGGGTCCCTTTTTTAAAGCTGAGAGACACTGGGAACACTTCCTCTCCCATTTCTTTGGCCAGGATTTGGATCATACGACTTTTCCTGATCCAACCACTGGGAAGGTAAATAGGATAGCTGTAATTGGCTCTGGTAAGTTACAATTTATCCCTGAGTCATGACAGGGAGTGCAGGATAGACACCCGAACAAAACTGGGGCTCTGCCCCGGGAGAAAAGGGGTGGGAATTAGTAGCTGCTTAACCAGAGAGTCATAGTCATAGTACATACATGCCCCTTCGTACTCTCTCTTCTGGATGAGTTCTCTTTGGGATTAGGCTTCGTACCCCCTTGGAGATGGGCACAGACCTATGACTGTCTGTGACCAGTGAAATGTGAACAAAAGTGAAATATGACTCAGAGGCTCTGTGAGTTCCCATCTGCTGGGAGTTAGGAGATAGGTGTACAAGAGATTTGTTATGGGTACGGCCTGAAGGATCCGGAGGAGCAGGATCAGGAGTAGGCAGGGAAAGCCGTCAGGCTGCCTTGCAGGTCTGACACCCATGGGAGAAGTAAGAAGAGGGATACATAAAGAGGACTGGGTAGGAAGAAGCTCGGACTATAATACCGCCCTGAAAAAGTCTTGGCCAAGGCCAAAGAGAACTTCAAATGCGGATTGCTTGTGGGGTAGCCCCTTGTTGGGCAGAGATGGCCAGGCCCTGGTAGCATGGCTGGGCTGTGAGCTGCCCAGAGAGAGCTTGGCCTCAGCTGGAACACAGCAGCAGGCCCAAAGTGCCCACAGCTCAGGCTGTCAGCCAACTCCACTCCTCAGAGCAGACTCTCTTGGAGATCTGAGGTGTGCATCACCAAGCCCTCCGCACAAGAAGCAGCTCTTGACTGAAAGTTCCAGGTTCTCCAGTTTCCAGGACCTTGGAAGCACATGTGGAAGAGTTGCATCTTCCATCAGCCTGGATCCCTAAGTCGCACCAGACCTAAAGCATGGGGAAAAAAGAAACTTTTGTTGGGTTAAGCCACTGAGATGTTGTTGTGTTTAAGCCACTGAGGTGTGTCATCATAACATACCATAACATATAAAAGCAGAGCACAGCGTTTCATAATGGATCATAACACAGAGCTACCTGTGTCTGCAGTGACAGACATTTTTAGTGTTAATTTAATTTCAAATGCCATAAAATTGACCACAGTATTTACTCGTGGTGATTTTTATCTCTTTTTAATCTGTCGTTGTGACCTTTCTGCCTTCCTATAGGGTTTATTTGCACGTGTTCTTTCTTGATTAGCTCCGCTATAGAGTTGTCCATTTTATTGGAGTTTTGGAATCCACTCTTAATTTTTTTGACCATCTCTTTTTGTTTTGTGTTCTATTTGTTTATTTTCAGCCCTTATCTTTATGATTTTCTTCAATTTCTTTGAGATTACTCTCTTACTTGTATACTTTCTTAAACACCAAACTCATTTAAGTCTTTTTTCTTCCTTCCTTCCTTCCTTTCTTTTCTTCTCAGTACAGTTTAGGTTGCATCCAAAATTTTGATATTTCTTTAATTTCACTGTTGCTCAGATATAAATTCTTTGTAACTTCTGTTACTTATTAATCCATGAATCATTGAGAACTTTTTTGTTACCAAATGAATTTCTTTTTTAAAGGTATCCATATTTTTACTATTGATGTTGATTGCTCTTGGAGAGTTACCCTGAAATGCTCTGCAATGTATTCGGACTTCCCCTGCCATTCTCCATGTTTAACATTTGAACATGTTTCAACACATTTTTTTCTGGCACGTGCTATTATTCAACCTGCAAATGACGTTTTTTAACAGACACCGTTGAATACGTGTAAGTCGTATGTCTCTGATCAAACTGTTAGCTCCTTGAGGACAGGGATGGTGTCCTACACTCTGCTTTCTTACTGCACTAGGAGAGCAAGTAAATGTCTTTGTGTGAGTATAAACAGAGAAAAGTAAGAGACAGAATCATAAAAACATTTTTGTAGCTCAACAACCATTATTAAGCCCAGGGCTGGTTTTTCAAGACAATTTGCAACATCTTTCTGAAAACAATAATAATGAATGTTTTGAGCTCTTCCCATGAGTCAGGCACAATGCTGACTCCTTTGATGAATTATCTCATTTAATCCTCATAAAACCTTCAGGGCGTCACTCCCTTCAGCTGAGAGAGAAGTGGGGAGCTCTGATTCCCATCATGACTAAAACAGCAGGAGATCTCCCCAAAACTTGAGAGAGGGTTCACTTCCTGAGTTCTTTAAAGGCAGTTATCCACCGTAACATGTTTAACATTTGATTTAAGGACACCAAAACCAATGCTTTCATCCGAGAGTGAGGAAACAGAGCAGAGACCTAGCTCCCCATTCCATTATTTGTTATCAGAGTTAGAACTTAAACGCAGAGCTTTTCATTTCCTGTTCCACTCTCTCAATGATACCGTTCTGCCTCTTTCATCCTGAAAGACAGACTGAGCCAATGGCATCTCCCTGACTCTCGTCCTCCCTTGCAGGCATTCCTCCTGCTTTGGGAGAAGGAAAGATTGAGGAAGGCCAACCTTTGGGTCTCAAATAACCATCCGATTTGGGAGGTGGCTTTGGCTCTGAAAACCTAGAGAGTTGGCTGAGAAGCCCAGAGTTGCTGGCTGGGGAGGCAGTGCTGGAAGGTACTTAGCAGGGTGCTCCCATCCTGGGTGGGAGAGAAGGATGATCACACCTCTCCCTGGGCATGGCCACAGACACATCTCCCTTTAGATGAAGCTTGGCCTCAGTGGCTGCCGCACCCCTCCTTTTCCATCCCGCAGCTTCCAGGGCTTTCTGACCTTTCTGGTTCCCTGGCTCCCTCCCTTTCCCCTTTACATCAGCCAGAGTAGCCCCAACAGGAACTTTACTAGGAACCTTAAAGACAAAAGTACCCTTTCCAGCACAGAGAAGGGTAAATTTACACAAACTCTCCCAACTAGATTGGAATTTCAGATAGCCAAAAATCCATCTTCCCAGGCACTGGGGCCATTTCTCTCCCGCTCCCCCTCGGATGCCACC